TTATTATATATATAATTTTTATTTATCCTTTTTTGCTATACAAGAAACTATTATCAGTTTGGTAGTAGTCTATTGTATAGGCAAGAAGTCATAATGGGCTGCAGTGTCTACTCAGAGATTTGTTGTTATTTTTTCAAGAGATTAGATAGTAATGATGAGAGGAAAGACTTGCTGTAGCAGATTGCACATAGGTACCTTTAGGGTAACTGGGTGAATCAATATTTAAAAAATTGTGTAATTAGATATATTCTGAGTAAATATGTATTCTAATGTTTTTGTCAAGCACAAAATTTATTGCAAATAAAGTATTAACATGACTTGTTGAAAAGGTTAAAAAAAAAAATTACAAACTATAAAGAATTACTCATATATGATTTTATATATCAAACTAATAAAATTTACTTGATAATATAAGCCATCTTAATAACAAAAAAAAAAAGAATTATAAGTTTATTAGTTCAAGAACATCTAAGTAAATTAAAAAGTGAATTACTAACATAAAAAAACTCAAAACATCTATCAAAATAAAAGCTATACCAAATTTTTTTCTTATTTTTAAACCAAGATAGCTTAGTAACCACCTAATAAAATTTGATGAAAATTTGTTTATTAGAATTCTATAGTTATAGAGAATCAAAATAAAAAAAATTTCATCGAATTTTATTGCATAGTTGTCAGATATCTTCGATCAAAGTTTTAAAAAAAACTTCTATTCAAATAAAAGCTATACCAATTTTTTCTAAACTTTGAACGAAGATATCCTAACAACTACATAATAAAATTTGATGAAAATTTTTTATTTTAATTCTCTGTAACAGTAGAATTTGAATGAAAAAATTTTCATCGAATTTTATTAGGTAGTTACTGAGCTATCTTGGTCTAAAAGTAAGAACAATTTAGTGCAGCTTCTATTTTGATAAACATTTGGAGTTTTTTTTTAAACTTTAAATGAAATTATCTCGACAACCATCTAATAAAATTCGATGAAATTTTTTTATTTTAATTAATTGTAACTGTAGAATTTGCATAAAATTTTTTTTATCGATTTTAATTAAGCGGTTATTGTGATATATTCACTCAAAGTTTGAAAAAAATGCTGTACGTACTGGTACGTATGAATCACGTGATCTGTACGTGTCCATAGTAATGTAAGCTCACGTGAACTAGTTGGAATCGATTCCATAATTTGAACAAAAAAAATCTTTTTCGAATTTTTCGAATTAAACTATCAAAAAAAAAAAATGTCCGATACTTCAATTCCTAAATTACCTAACCTTGAGCTCGCACAATACCGCTTCATTTTGAATAATCCCAAAACTCCAGAGCAACATGAAGAAGCTAAGGAAAAGTTATTTAATATAATCGATGAAAATAGTAAGTTCTCTTACCTGTATTAGGATAATAAGTAAAATACTCGATCTTTATAGTTTTAATACTTTAATGATAGAACAATAAAATATATTTTTAGACATGGCACCATTTTATCAACTTGTAACCGAGGAACTCAAGATTCCGGTGAACAAGACTTTATTATCTAAATATCAAGAAGTAAATAAAGAAGAATTACAAAAATTAGAAGAACGATTGCAAGATGCAGAACAAAATCTTGGTGAAACAGAAATAAGTGATGCTTTATTAGCTAAAGCCGATTATTTTGCCAAAATTGCTGATAAAGTATGTAAGATCACATAGTTTGATCCTTTTTTGAAAAAAAAAGTGATCATTCAAATATTCATCTACTTTTTGTGTATAGGAGAAAGCTCAAGCAGCATATCGCGTTGCTTTGGATAAAACTGCAGGACTAGGATCTAGAATTGATATAATTTTTTCATTTGTACGGATCGGATTCTTTTTTAATGATAATGATATCATTAGTCGTAATGTCGAAAAAGCAAGAAGGTAAGATATACACGGTATTTATATGCGTATTAAACACGAAGTATCAATCATTAAATATTTAAAAAATTCGAATTAAATAATTTATAGTATGATTGAGGAAGGTGGTGACTGGGATCGACGTAACCGTCTTAAGGTTTATGAAGGCATATATCGATTATCAATACGTGATTTTAAAACAGCAGCAAATTTATTTCTTGATACGCTTTCAACCTTTATGTCGACCGAGTTAATGGAGTACAAGGATTTTGTGAAATATGCAGTTTTAGCAGGAGCCATCTCTCTTAATCGAGTTGATTTAAAAAAGAAGGTATTTTATAAATTTTTTTAAGTTGTTTAAAACAATACTTTAGTTTCTTAACATAATTAATTTAGGTGATTGATGCACCGGAAGTATTGGAAGTACTAGATGAAATCCCACATTTAAAAGTTTTCATCAATTCACTTTATAATTGTGAATATGCAAAATTCTTCCAAGCTCTCGGTAAACATAATTTATATTAACATATTTACAATAATTTTTAAGGCAAAAAATTTAAAATATTATTTATTTATACAGCTGATGTGGAAGGAACTCATCTTCGTACATCAAGATATTTATTCTCTCATCTTCGTTATTACGTACGTGAGATGCGAATAATCGCATATGCGCAACTTTTAGAATCTTATCGTTCGCTTACCATGGAAAGTATGGCAAATGCATTTGGAGTTTCAGAAGAATTCATTGACAAGTAAATATTTTCAATATGAATTAGTAAATAATATTTTATTTATAAAATTAAATTGAAATATTTTACTAATAATAATTTAATACTAAATAGTGATGTTTCCAAATTTATTGCCGCCGGACGTCTTAATTGTGTAATTGATAAGGTGAATGGGATTGTGGAAACGAATAGACCGGATGCTAAGAACGCACAATACCAACAAACAATTAAACAGGGAGATATACTATTAAATCGTATTCAAAAGTTGTCAAGAGTTATTAATGTATAGAATGTAAAATAGTGAATTAAAGTTGTTTCTTTTTTTTGAGTCTTGTAATTATTTGAAAATCTAAATATCAATTGAACAATAAATTTATTGTGTATGAAAGATGCCTGAAAAAATCAGTCTTTTGGTTGCTTTTCGCAAGCTTCTAACATTTAGTATTTGGCAAACATTGTTAAATATCAAAATTTGATGCAAGAATTTATAATCCGTTGCTACCAAAAGTTAATTGTTTAAATATTTCAATATCAATGACACATAACGAATGAAGCAAAATTACCATAAAGTCCCAAATGATTATTTATTAACCATTATAAATTGCAAAATTACAATAAAAAGGGACTTGTTTGTCGCAATATATGTATGAAAGGTTTAACACCTACATGCATAAAAATATATGTATATATATAATGTTTCGACAGTAACGAAACATATTCTACGTGACTAAGTACAAAAAAAAATAATCTAACAAAAATAACGTGTTGCATATGAAACAAAAATATAAAACTAAAAATAATTTTGATGTGATAAGTCAAAAAAAAGAATCACTGCAAAACAAAAAATAAGATTAAAATAACATCTTTTACACAATAGAAGAAAAAATTATATCAATATAAACCAAATTTAATTATGAGCGCAACCAACATTCAGACTAAGCTCTAGTGCGCAAGCAATTTCTAAAAGATATGATCCGAACAAAAAAAAAAAAAAATTTTACTCTTCGCTTTCCAACTCTCCTTCGCCTGAATTAGACATGACAACATCGGCATCACCATTACTACTGTTTGACTCAACACCATTCTCACCATTCTCTTCAATTAATGGAGGAGCAGTTGAGACGGGAGAACCAACAGCTCCGTTCACTCTACCATTACCGTTAGTAGTACGGGCACCAGTACCTCTACGCCTGCCGCCACCATTTCTTGTCTTCATAACTTCAAAATGTTGTTCCACATAGTTTTTGCATTTATTAGCGTTAGGCAAGTCTTGTATCATTTTTCTAATTGTTGCTTGTGAAAAACCAAAATAGTCAGGACCTGAAGCGGAGTTAGAATGATCACGATGACGAATCGCATTAGCTTCACGAACGACAGAAGTCCAAGCACCAGTTGCAGTGTTCGCTATGATAGGTTTATCAGGTTGATCTTCAGCTTCTATGACAAACTATTAAGATGAACATGATTGTTAATAAAAACATACTAGACTTTAGACATCTAGAAAATTAATATGTTTAATCAATATCATACCTTTGGACCTTCACCACCATCTTCGATCTTGCAAACATACATAGTTTGGCTATCAGCATTGATCATGCTATTGTACGCTCTATAGTCAAAGCATAAAAAAAAAAAGAGTGATAAAGCATGAGAAATGAATAAGAGTGAAATCAATTCACACACACAGAATAATAATTACCTTTTAACAGCATATCCGACAGGCCAGATGTATCTTTCATTGTGGAAAGTATCACGTTCATAAACGACAGTGCCAAGGTTCAATACAGTTAATATACCAATTTGAACAGGGAGCTTGTATTTTCCTTCTTCATCCTGTTCAACATGTTGGACTTTCATAGTTTTGGCATTAAGTGGACGTTTACTAGCACGTTTCTTCGTAACTTTACCAGAGGCATGAGGGATAGGAACGGTATTAACAATATTATTTGCAGGCGTAGGAGGAGAGGATTTTTTATTAGAAGCACGACCGCGGGGTTTTTTTATTTGACGCATGATAGATGAGGCTCTAGATTGTTGAGCCGAAGAAGCTGTAATACATTAAATATATTAAAGAAAATATATAAAAAATACTTAAAAA